TGATAGTTTTAATTTCACGTGTTGTTACGTATCGGCTCTTTCAAAGAACCAACAAGAAAGAGCGAAGACAAAAAGTTTTGTAAAATTATAACAAAAATAATTTATTTCCAAAGAACACATAGAGAAAAGGTAAATATATGAAACAAGACTTATGATTTACAAAAGAGATCCGAATTGTTTGTTCTAAAGATATGAAAACACACAAGTCCTGTAAACAGTTTTAAATTGACACAGTCTAAAGTTTAGTTCCGGTCCAAGATGGCGGATGATGATTTCAGACGAAGACTAACACAAAATCCCAGAACTTACAATGTGAAGCACAATTTATATTGCTCTGTTCCAATTTAGAAGAATTTCAGAAAATGTCTTTGTCCAAACCAGTAGTGTTGTTCTCCAGGGTAAATAATTATTTAGAAAGTAGACGAAGTATAATTATATCCACTAACAGAACACGTGTCGTTCTACGTAGACACACGAACAGACAACTTCTTCCATCAACAGATACCCTTTTTAAGGCAATAAAAGCTATCCGACTCTCTAAGATGTTTAAATCGGCTACGAATCGGACTCTGATTTTCTTACCAATAACTTAGCAAATAAAATACACTAATACATCGTTTTATGTACAAATGCAAGGAGGACACATGTAATTTCGCAATCCATCTGGACACTGAGAAAGCTAAAACAAGTATCAGCCAATCATTTACATAGCTGCTTTTGATTGTTTGCTTGCGACGAATTTACTGTCATACTAAGTTCGTGCTTACGCGAGTCACATTTACGATTAAAGTAAACACGATATTTCTAACAAACATTAGAACCATGGTAACATAATAATAATAATAATAATAATAATAATAATAATAATAATAATAATAATAATAATAATAATAATAATAATAATAATAAGTGAAAAATTATCTCTCTGAATATAGTATTAACAACAGCATGTAGGTTATTATAGATTTATACAGAATTCATACCTACACACACACAAACACACACACACAAACACTTCGACTACAGGGTCCTAACAGTGTAATGATTCTTTTTGGAATAAATTGATCATATACCGTGATGTATAACCGTTTTTCAATGCCACTTTAAAAGATGGCCACAACATTGTTGATAGTAATACCACAAAAAATTCCAGAAGGCAGGGCAAGGAAAATTAACTTAGTCGTAGCTAATCAGAAATTAAAATAGTTCGTGAGTGTTTGTAAACCAATTCGATTCATATTAAGTAACGTTTTAACATGTTAACGTATTAAACTGCAACGATTGTATGGAAAGTATACTATGTCATAAAAGGAAATATTTCTAGAATAAAGTGGCATCCATTGTATTGTGAGTTAAACTTGAACTGACTTGGGTTTGTATCTTTGTTTATTATTTCATTCAGTCGTGACTTTTTCAAAATGAGTACCGTTTGTTGTTGAGTTGACATTTATACGATACTATATTAGTGACACAGAATGTCCAATACCAACAACATGTAACTTCAATGACAATTTACATGATTCATTTGGAAAATTCGTCATGAATAGTTAATAACTGAAATGTACGGATTGTTATTTGGGATTTAATTTTGGACATTCTTGAGGGCGTCTCTGCATTGAAAAATGAATGAATACTATTAGACTTAACAGATTTGAAATATTTTAAGATATATTCATCCTAAAAGAGAGAGAGAGAGAGAGAGAGAGAGAGAGAGAGAGAGAGAGAGAGAGAGAGAACAATAATATAGGCATAACTATGAATAGAATATAAAATGGCATATATACTTCATAATTTTTTAAAAAAGGTAGTTTTAAAAATGATATCGGTATTATGGTAAAAAATCGATTTCGCCACTGTAGCGATATTATTTGTTCCCACTGATCGTTTCATTATCTCGTTATGAAATATATAGTAAGATCAGCGAACCTTCATCTGATCCAAAAAAAATTAAGACACTTTAATGATACTTAAAATGAATAAATCATCATTTGTTTCCATTTATTTTACAGCATATTTATTTCCAACCGCTCCGATGGCCTAGTAGTTAGAGCGTCCGCCTCAGCCTGGTGTCAGAATAATATGACTGGATATATGCATGTATCATGCTGCATATTTGCATATCCAGTACACGACATCACTATAAACTGCCACACTGCAGACATCGTAGCCATATGACTGAAAAGTTTTAAAAGCTACGTTAAAAATCATAATCACATCACGTCACATAACTTATTTCCAAACTATACGTTCTATCATGGTGCCATGGGATATATATATATATATATATATATATATATATATATATATATATATATATATATATATATATATATATATATATATAAATGAATTGTGTATAAGGTTTAATTTTTTTCATTTTTGTTTCATTGCATTATATTACAATGAATATTGTTCTCATAATCTGGATTTTGTTCAGTGATGACATAAATGTTAGTTTATTTAAGACGAAGATGTATTACGTGAGAATCATTTTGTCCGTCTTACCCTGGTAAAATTGTCAACAGAAATTTAAATTGGTCATTATTAGGGCCATACATTCTTTGCGTGTTAACATTCTTTGGGTGTTCACGGTGTGTTAACAACCCTATTTATGATTGGTTCTTAAGTGGGGTGACTCTGGCGAACGTGCCAAAATTAGTGTAGTAAGAGACCACATGACCAATCTCTCGAGACTTGAAATGAAGCCTGGGGTTTTAAATACGCATTCCATATATTTTTTAAAGTGAGTTATTCAGCATCTTGAAGGAACAAGGTGTATTTTTCAATTTGTTGCCAGGATTGTTTGCTCTTCGTTTGATGTTTGGATTTAATAATGTATTCTCCTGGAAATTCAATACGTTGATTTTTCTATAAAAAATTCTGAAAGATATTCATGGAAATATATTATAGAATTTAAAGAAAAGAAAGACTGTCATTCAAGTGAGAAATTGTTGATATTCATTCATATATCGGACTACCTCTGATGTCATCGCATTCCATAGTTTTACATCGTTGGGACTCGAATCTGGATTCTTATAGGACTTTTTAGTGACAGTACTTAAGTTTATTTTACAGATAACTAAACATATAAACGAAGCTAATACTTTGTTTCATTAACATGCGCACGGCCGACAAGTGTAGATTCGAAATGCATCTGGACATTAGGAAAGCCTTTCCAAGTTTCATCCAATCATTAACATAGCTACTTTTGAATGTTTACTTGCGACTAATTTACTATCATTCAAAATTCACATTTACGATTTAAGTAAACACAATGTTTTTTTTATAAAATATTAGATGTTTGCTGACATAATCACAACAACAACGATAATAATAATAATGATAATAATAATAATAATAATAATAATAATAATAATAATAATAATAATAATAATAATAATAATAATATAATAATAATAATAATAAAAATTAATAATAATAATAACTACATTATATGGTATAAAAAATGAAATTAAAATGAAATAAAAAGCTTTACACAGAATGCATTCCTTAACACACATAATTCAACCACACGGTCGTTATAATTGTAAAACCTCTGTTAAAAAATTGACACTTGACCCAAATGATTTAAAGAACCACCACCCTGTTTATAACCCCTCATTCATATAAAAAAGTCTGAGATCACGTTATTCTATCCAATCATGTATCTCATTTAAATTACCATAATCAGTTATGATATCATTATACCACATTGATTTGGACAATATTTGAGATTAATGTATTTATGTCATTTTTAGACCAAGCCATTAAAGTTTTCACAAAAAGTTATTTTTAAAATATTCTTGCCAGATCAATGTTCTATATGTTATATCCTAACCTGTATCTCATCTGAATGCAAACATTCTTTTTAGCAATGTACAGTCTGCATATCGCCCTTACTATGGTACTGAAACGTTACCTCTGAGAGTTGTTAATGATCTTCTCTCCTCTGGATAGTGGAACGAATACTGCAAGTTCTTGTGTTGTCTGCAGCACAAAAAAACGATATGTTACTTCGCCATCTCCAGCATGTATTTGGTATTAACAATGCAATCTTACTATGGTTAATGTCCTAATTAGTCAGTAGGACACAACTTGTGTCCATAAATGGACAACATTCCATCCCAGTTGATCTCTGTTGGTATTCTGCAAGGCTCCCTTTCTAGGCTCTATTTTTTCACTATATACACTCATGTGCTCTCAAGCGTCATGTATAGACTTCTGGTTTAGCACCGTTTGTAAACTAATGACTATCAAATATACAAATCTACCTGCCCAAATGAAGTCGAGGCTACTATCCAAGGCATAGAGAGGTGCATTCCCGATGTGAAGTCGTGGATGACATATAACAAACCGCAAATGAATGGTGATAAAACTAAAAACATTCTGATAACCACACATCCTTTACCTCAAAGAATAGGTATCAGCAATACCAACATTAAATTCACACAGTCAGTATGAAACCTAGATGCCACTATTGACAGGACGCTATCATAACACTAAGATATAATTAACATATGCAAGGCTCTATTGAGTTTTCTTTCAACTAAAGCCACTAAATCCTTCTTTTAATGAGTTCTTTCAAAAATGGACTATTGTAATTCATTTCTGTATGGTTCATCTCACTACCTGCTTCAGAAAATTGAAAATGCTTGGATCATCTTCATAATACAAAAAAGAAACTGAACACCCTCTATGCTCTGTACCCATTCAGTCCTGAATAAAAACAATCTGTTCACTATGCTACATTTCATTTACTAGCTCCAGTCCTATATACCTACATGCCCTCATCCACGTGTGTTCCACATTTAGAAACTTACACCCCTCTTCCGACACTTGTTGTTGTTATAGGGTTTAACGCCATTTTTCTGCACAAGATTGGCTATACATGGCGGCCAGACTAAATGGTGGAGGAAGAACTGCGAAACCCCAGAAAGAACCACTGACTCATGAAACCCTACCATTTTAAATCAATGGCAATTTTTTCATCTGTATTGGACGGTTTAAGAGGCCTAATGGTTAGAGCATCCATCTCAGGTGCGGGGGGTCGCGGGTTCGAACCCTGTCCAAGTCATAACAAAGGCCTTATAAAATGGTAATTGCAGCTGCCTTGCTTGGTACTCAGCATTAAGAGGTTATGCATTAAAATATGGATTATATTTTAAAGAGTTACTTATTTTAACACTTTATTAACTTAATACTAATTGCAAAAAAGTTGACATAACTCATATGGTGTCTTTTATGCGGCTTATATATTGGTGAGGTGTAAAAAATCCTAGAAATTAGAGAAAACATTCAAATTTGCATGATAAACACTCAATCTTGCACGAATGGAACAAGAAATTGAACACAATTCCGCCATAGGTACTTAACGAGCTTATTACAAGCTGTACTATCGCGATTTATTTATTGGTACTAATACTCACAAGACAATGTACTATAAGAGATCATTAAAATATAAATTTAACGTTTTCCCTCGACTTATATTTCAGTCATTATACAGAAGATGCTGAAAATTACTACCAGTGATGCATTATGAAAAGTGACAAAATTAGAAATTACTAACATTAGATCTATGGTTTCAGCTAGGAAATGAATGTTCCAAAAATAATTGAGACTAAATTCCTTAGCGAAAGGGAACAATTTATGCAGCAGTCAAATATACATCTGAGAATCCTGTGAAGATAAGCTCTTAACCTCTGGTGAATCCACTTAACTATAGATGTCAGATTTTCTATATGCTGCTTGACATTTTCGAGAGGTTTCCAGAAATCAAGGTTTATTGCTCTGCTTCGTTCTACTGTGTGGTTCTGCGATTAAGTTTCTACAATTTTGTAAACGTCTGTACCCATAGGAACAAAATTATATTGATTATGGCATATATTAACATGAAAAGTTATGTCTTTTATAAATGAGATATTTTGAAAATTTCATAATTTACATGATTTCTGCAATTTCACAATTTTACGAAATCATCTAAAATAGTGTGTAATAAATCAAAACAAGCTATCAATCTTCTTCTGTGACCTGCATAACTATTACAATAGCATGATAATGTGGGAGATTTTAGTATCATGACCACAACTATACACATTACAACAACTATTAAAATTAGTTATATAATGGACCAATAAAAATTATGACGGCTATTACACACATTACAAAAAATCTTTACAGATAATATCATTTAGGAATTTTAATATCATGGCGCAAGTACACACATTCAGTTTAATACGAAAAAATTATTAGGCATTATGATGTAATTGTTTAATAGTAAAGTGCTGCTAATGTGGTTTACAGTGCAGTAAGGAATGTGAGTGAGAGAAGCAATGATTCTTTCATTCTTAAATTAGGCAGAACATATCAAAAGGTGAAGACATGAATTTAAAAACGGATTCCTAGACCATTTGACAACGCGTTACTAAAGAAAAATACTATATGCAAATTTAGTAGACTATATGTAGGCATATTAACTACGAACAGTGATTAAATAGCAACAATACCAAGAATAATTATATAGAAAGTGAATATGATCTATTAGTTTGTATTTTTACAATGTGCTCATTTGATTTTTGCCTGAGATATTAAATTAAATCTCTTTCCAGTTCAATCAAAGATAAAACATCTGACGTACTTAGCAGGAGTTCAATAACTTTAAGAACAAACACGTCAGTCAAAAGCTAAACTAAAAAAATGATTTCATTCAATACTAGTGATTTTGATGCAATAATGTTTTTAGAAATACGCATCGATCACAATGTTCAAGTTGATAATCTCTTAGTATGAAAGATATGGTAAACCAGTTGGGAAAGTAAGCTCAAATCATTTTTGATCTGTTATTATTTATGTTTCTGAAATAAGTATTTGATTAAGACGATGCCTTTTGATTTATTTTATTGAACTCACATGAATAAAAATTGCTTGGTACAAAATATAAGTCACGTGCTCTTTTCCTGCGAAATTATCCTGATTTGTGGATTCATGACATATTAGCAATGATTAACATACCGTAACACATCTGTAAACATTACTTTCTTGGATTTTTTTAACCAAAGACCTTATCAATGATGCATTTCGCTTTTTAAATGATTTGAAAAACCTTAAATTTAAAAGATTGGCTTTAATTAGAATTAAATAAATTTATATCAGCCACAAATTGGACAAAAACATTTTCACAAACTTCCTCATTATTAATCAAGCTTTAGAACTGTTCACGTACATATTAACTGACATGAAAATTAGCAGTAGCCCATCCAAATTGGAGACGGTCGAACTCTGTCAAATTTCAGTATCCTATTAAAATAGGATATGTCACCAGTAAACGTGATCAATTTAAAGAAAACGCATTAAAATGTATGAACTGTGCGGACTGGACAAAAAGCAGAAGTCTTTGCAATAAAGCAAATAAGCAAATAAAGTTTGCGAAAGGCAAAGTAATTTATAGTTAAGAATATATTGATAGATTGTATACAAATTGTATATGATTATTGGAGTGAAATCCATCTTGTTGGGTTTAATATTCAAGGTTTTTTTTTTTTTCAGACAAGGTGGACACAATATCCGTACAAGGTGAGTTTAATAGCAGTACAATGTGGGTAAGATATCGGTAAAATGTGGGTAAAATATCGGTACATTGTCGGCATTGTATCCTCAAAACCAAAATAATCACATAAAAGAAGAAAAAGAGATTAAGCTTGACGTAAGATTGGTTCTTTGCTTACGAAAATCGAGGTAACATTAAAGTGATAGTAAAATGTATGTTGAATTGTTTACTTTTTCCTTCCCACGTGTCTAAACTGAATTAATGAAAATATTCTTACTATTTTAACATTTTAGATTCTTATTTAGTTTATCTTTGCAATTCAATAAAGATTCTAAATAGTGCAGATTGCTTTTTTATACCTACTCTGAATTTATTTGTGGGAGTAACCACGCATCACTGCTTTCCAAGTATGCAAATTTGCATAATATTTGCTTGATTAGTGCATTCGTGTGCCCTGGCATCTTATCGCTACTCCTCTTATTATGTTCAAGTGTCTGATTTGTCCCAAATTAAAAAGATCTAATATCCACTATTGTGACAACAACAGCTTTCTTGACTTTTTCAAATTCCTCTTATCTCCTACTCCTCCTAGATGAATGGTAATGTTGACATTTTTGCAATGTTATTGAAGCAGTGAGGTATAAAGTTTCATAAATACAAAAAACTTTAATTCTCCACTTTTTATGATAGCTTTCAATTCTCAGAATGCTGAATAAATATTACTTGAAGAAATTACAACATAATGTTGTAGAATTATTTCAGCAAGTTCAACAAATCACGTTAACACAACGTGTTATGACAACGTTGCCACAACCATAGCGCGATGTTGCTGCAGCGTTTTTGCAACGTTCAATATTGTTAGCTGAGACGCCTGTATAAGAAAAGCAAGTATTGCTTGATTTTCCATTCTGTCAGTAGACACCTACTTAAGGAATGTAAATAATGCTTCATCATTTCAAACGTTCTTCAATTATGACACATTAGTTGAATTAACTACATGGAAAATACTAACGACATCAGTTTGTGTAATACTGTCCAATATGTCTACATTATTCCTTTTTTAGCAATGTAAACACAATCGTTTTCATTTATTTGCGGGTCTTTTATTATGTCTAAAGATCGTCTGTTGATCATGCAATATTTACAATCTTCTGAAGTGTAGTTTACATCCAATACATTAACTAGCAACTCTGCCGTGAATTCGATATGATAAATACATATTGGCGAAATAACAGTTCTGAGAGGAAGCTAATTGGCCACAACCAGTCTGATGTCAAGCACCCATTAGCTTTAATCATAAAATCCTGACCAGCTAGCTTTGTTCTCACCATTTATTTTAACTCGTAGTAAGAGATAAATGGTTAGGTGAATAACCATCTCTGAGGTACAATATCAACGATAAATGTGAAAGAAAATTAATATTACTAGTAAATAAATAAGTTCACTAGTCACAGATTAACCCTCTCTGTATTGGATACTATAGTGACTTGCTTCAAATAGCTAAAAGAACCCAGTCTGTCAATCACGAACAGGACATGTATATGAATTTTAAATTGGCATGATAGTAATGAAGCATTGTGGCGAAAATTATCTGAATGTAGCATCAGCATATACACGCAAATGGAATTCTCAATGTGACAAAGGGTAGGTAAAAATTTATGCACATACGTTACAGAGTATTGGCTAATGAATTAGCATGGAAACAGGCATTGAAATCAACTAGAAAGAAATAAAAAGACACAGCTCGATATACATGTAAATGGGTAGTGGTTCAATGCATTGCTAAGACAGTGAGTTGTTCTCCTGGCTAAATCTACACCGATGTGATTATTATATAGTTAAACAGTAATGTATGTTACCAAATGTTTTTCAGAAAAAGTATGAAAAAACAATTAGGTTACAGTAGACAACTCTGGTATGAAATATTAAAACCAGGTATGAAATACATATATATTAATATATATGTGGATAAAAATATAAGAACCTTTAAACATGTATGCACGATAGTACATGAATGTAAGGTAGATGGGAAGATACTGAGATTGCGTCTGCAGCAAATTAATAAATCATTACTTACATTGGCGTAGTTGTAAACTTCATTCATTTACTCAATAGAGAAATACGGATGCAAATTCACTATATAGTATGAAATGTTTTTCTCTGCTGCTAAAAAGTATACGCTTGGAGAAGAATCCACACAATCTTAAAATTCTTCTTAGGACATTCATTTTCCAGACCAAAATAAGTTAAATCCGTTTTTGTGGACTGGATAAAAATGTGTAAATCTAGATATATAATAGATAGTATATTCAGTAAGCATCGGTCTCGAATTGACAGAGAGCAGACAGTAGGTCTACATACGATTTACATGTATTTGATTTGTTACATACCTGCTCCCAACAAATAAATATCGTCGATTCTGCTGTTAATATTTTATATACTGATTGCCCTACTAATCTTGTCCAAATCGGATCTAAACTTTTCAAATTACCTGTTTGTTCGGGTCCGAAGTTTTCTTTATTGTAAGAATA